GTATGTAAATATAAATATAAATATAAATATATAAATAATATAAAATAATAAATTATATCAAGAATATAAATATAAATATAAGAATATAAATGCAGTAGCTGTAGTAATTACGTTTACATCAGTACTGAGGCCTTTCCTACCCAGCATGAAGATACAGATTGCAGTCTGTGTAGCTAGGCCAACTGGATTTACTAAAAATCAGAATCACTGTGTGGATGCTGCATGTTTTTGATAGATGATTCTGTATGCCTATAGCTAGTCTCACCATAAGCAAACTTTTAAAACATTCACGTTGCCAACACAGTAGCCCTTTTGTTCACAGCTTCTTTTTTTTTTTTTTCCTCAAGAAATATATACTTATGTGACCTGGATTTATCCTAAGGTAGGTGTTGTTTATAAATGAACGGCAGAAGTGAACATTTTTCAGAGAGGTAAAAGACAGACAGTTGGCTGTATGCAGACAGGCATTTGTTCATTTGCAGATGACTCACCAGAAAGAGACCGAAGTTTTCGTAATGACTTGTCATTCTTCTGTCACAATTTCAAATATGTCTTTTTTCTTTCCAAAGGCAAAAGTTTATATGATTGCAGCAGGGGTCATAGGAGGTGTATATCTTCTTGGAGTTGTCATTCTTTTTCTTGGAGTAAAGGAAAAAGGCGGTAAGATATATTTAAATATGCCTAGATTTAATAATAATTATTTCACTTTAATCTCTGAAAAAGATTGTTATTTTATGTATTCTGCTCCTCTTAGATCCTTATGCGTTAAATTCAGACAGAGCAATCCCTTTTTGTAAGGGGCTTGGACTCACCATGAAGCATGGTCCATATGTGAAGCTTACAGCTTCATTTCTTCTCATCTCGACAGCAGTTCAGGTAACTTCAGACTCTTAAGTCTGTGCATTGGCCTTATTCCAGTCTCAGCATGGGAGAGTCTGCAGCAGCTAAAATGCAAATAACCTTTGGCTGGTGACTGGAGGTGGTGATCTAGGGGGTGGTGCCTTCCCCTACAAATCAGTAGGGAACCAGAGCCCTTTTTCGGTGCCTGAGGTCCTCTGTGGCTGGAGATGGTTCTTTCAAACGAGAAGCAAAACCAAAGTCCTGACCATTTAAAGATGGCTTTTTTTTTTCTTTTTTTTTTTTTCTCTCTCATAAAAGGTGAGGAACTAGTCCTAGTGACCCAGATTGGGTCATTATATGTTATCCATCCACAGTCTCCTGTGGTTTCAGTTGCTTAGAGAATGTTTTTTCCCTTCTCTCTGTTCTTCTCTATAGTGTCTGCCACCTTTAAACCATTGCCCCTTTCCTTTGCATAGATGACTGTTCTCAGATAGTGGCTGAACTGGTTCTTATTGAGTCTTTTGTGATGGAAGGCATTAGGTCAGAGTAAGATGATGTTCAGAGGCAGGAGGTCTTACCTGTCTCAGAGCTAGATAGAGCTGATTTTCACATGAGGACCTGCAGTTGAAAGTGGCTCTGGCAAAAAGATGCAATACATCCTCCCATAGAGAGAAGCTGTAGAAAAACTTACAGCCACTCAGTAAGAAAAGCTTATTCCCCGTAGTCCAACAGTCTTTTTAAAGCTTGATTTTTGAGCTATGTTCAATTCAGTAAATAAGTTATTTTAATGTGAACCTGTACATATCAGTTGAAGTTGGCTTTCTTTTGAAAAGGAAATAGTAGTCACATTTTTTGTCAACAGACTCTTGGTCACATGAGCCATTGATCAAGTGAATATCAGGACAGAAGGCAAGAATGGGGCATGTAAGAGAGCAGTACTGTGTTCACCAGCAGTCCTGGTGACTTAGTAAGTTCCTTGGAAGGACTGCTTAACAGCCTGTTTGCCAAAGAAGCACTGGAGTTTCCTGTTAGCCTGGATTTGGGCACAGTTAGTAGGCTGTCCTTTAGAGTGTCTGTCACTCCTTACTGGAAGGTCCAAGGGTGAGAAGCAACAGAAGAAGCATTTTTGCTTACATCTGGGAGCTGCATGCACTGTGAGCAACAGCAGAGGCAGGGAGAAGATGAAAGGTCCCTTATGGTCCAGATCCTTGCAGCATACATTCGGTCAGTAAGGATACAGTGCTCATCTGGTTGCTGGCAACCAACTACTTGCTGACAAAACCTGGAGAATAAAAGATCTTCTGTCAGTCTGTATCGCTTTATTTTTCTATTTGTACAGGCTGAAGGGAAGGTGTGAGGGGAGGCAGAAGCTGGAAGCTGTATTGCTCCAGATCAGCCAGCATGACCCTTGCTATTATTTTGCAAGGGAGGGACACTGACTTCGTGGAATTTAGTGAGTGGATTACTGATGAGCAAAGGAATAGGCAGGTAAAGATACATTGGCCATATTCCCAGAGTTTTAAAGATGCAGTCTAAAATGAAGGCAGTGTAAAGTGGACCACAAGCTAGTGAAGGCTTTGGTGGCAATGGAGAAGGGACAAAACTTATATCCTAATTTGTGTACAGATGATTGGCTGCTTATAATATACAAGCACAGAAAGGAACAAGAGTTGATCATGCTGCTGTGGCATGAGTATGTAAATCCTCTTCTGTCATTCCACTTCTGCAGAATTGCTGGAGCTGGGCCTGAACCGTATTCTGTTGTTCAGAACCCCCCTGAGTTCTGCAAAAGCACGGTGGCAGTGGCTTCATCTGTCATTATAGCACAGTGCAGCTAGATCCTCCCATCCATTGAGTATTCAGACCTACGGAGAAATCTGATCCAAAGCTACACTCCATAGCCAAGGTTGTATACAAACCCAGCAGTTAGCTGCTTTATTACAAGAAGTTGTCATGAGTGTAATTCCAGCTGAAGAGTAACTTGTTTCAGAGTCAGAGCTTCTGTTGAAAGATTTATGGCATTGCTATGGAAAAGGAAGGGCAATTTTTTGTGTTAGTCTGCAGCTGTAGCTGTGACAAGAACACAGCATAACTGCAACATAAGGAATAAAGCCTTTAGGCCGAATCGTCTCATGAGGCAGTTCCTATTTTGGTCAGTTTTATGCTATATTAGGTGCATGGTTTATGTTATTGACATGTTAATCCAGTGATAGCAGGACAGTTTCTGCTTCTTTAAATTGTTGCAAACGAGGGAAGGATGAGACTCCCAAATCCTACGTTTAACAAATCAGTCACCAAATGTATTTGGCTAGTATGGAGTGTGATGTCATTTTTGTCTTTTTGAATTTTCCTTTCTTTTTTGTTGGTCACCAAACATCTTCAATTCAACAGCTGGAGCAGAGCAACTTTGTCCTATTCTGCACTCATGCTGCTGATCTTCGCAATCACTTCCAGTATTTGGTGGTGACCATCTTGGTGAGTTGCACTTCTCTCCCATCTTTTTATTTGATGACTGGTTCTCACTGTTTTTTGGCACAAAATAGCCAAAGAAAAGAAGAGTTTTCTGTCTAGACAGAGATGTTAAGAAGCTGCACTATCTTTTGCATTGCCCGTTTGAAATAAAGCTGATATTCTCTACTGTACTTCTAAAAAATTAATACTTTGGTGCTTTTAATTCATTCCTTGTTGGTTTTACCTGTAAGTCACTTTCTGCTCCTAAAAAAGGCAAAAGCTGTTACCAGAAAGGAGCTCTGGAATTTTAGCTCCTTTTTCCCTTTCCCCAGTCTGATATGCTGAAAATTAAACAACTTTAATTTGTGTGTTCATACACATGAGCCTTCTGGGCTAGGCAGCTTGCAAGGATAAATATTTAAAATATCCAGAGATGTGAAGATTCCTCTCTAGAGCAATTGGCAGTGTGATAAAAAGATGCTTTTACAGAACATTTTTCTTGACATGCAGAGGTAGAATTCTGCTTTCTTAGGTGATGCTTACAAGTCAGTTACACACTGCTTCTATATTGCAGGATCAACTTTATACAACTTAAGTAGTATTAGTTGAAAACTGCCATTTTCATCCTTCTGACCAAAGTCCTTTAAACACAAGTTAAACATATAATGTTGCATAATTACTGGGTTGTTCATGTACTACACTATTGAAATATTTTGTAGAGAATTTGTCTACCATATGGAATACTGCAGCAGTCATTTTCAGGGAAGCTGTTGCATGATTTCTGACCCATTTGGCACAGAGACTTTATGGAACTGTTTTAGGGGAACTTCACTTCCACTTCTTGGTCCCAGCCTCCCACCCTTTCTACCCCTTTTTGATTCTTCCTTTCCCACATAATAAGACAGATCTTTTCCAACGATTAAAACCAAAATGTTGGAGAGTAAGGGATGACAGTTGGGTATCTTAAGGCTCTGCAAGTAATGGACAACAGGAAGAGAGACAAGAGACAGTAGAGCCAAGGTCAGTAAAGAGTGAAACATAACTGTAACAATGAGATGATATTTGAATTTAGATCAATTGTAAGACTGTCATTAGTAGCAGTACTTTAATGCATTGGTACTGCGTTGCCTGTAGTTGTTGCTGCTACCAGGTGAGTATTACAGGATATGAAATGGTCATGTTGACTGTGAGCGACTATTTCTCTTACGGCTTGTTCCTAAGAATAAACATGTAGTATGGGATAGGTACTCTAAGTATATCTGAAGATAAGTGTATCTTGTGCTTCAGCTTTCTTCCTGTACGATGGGGTAGAGCTTAATTCACCTGTCATTTGTTCAGGTTCAGATAATGAGGCAAAAGGCATTAGCACAAAGTATGACTATTTGAAATGTGTTTGAACTTTAGTGACTGTGCCATTTATAGCTTCGATTGCGGTGGCTTACATTAGGAAAAGGAAATTTTAAGACACTGCCTTCTGATACTTGACTGTGGAAAACTCTCTCATGGATAGCTTTTATTTTTAATATGTAATAGTGAATAAAAAGTAAATCACTCAAAGAACGAGGAGAAATAGTAATCTGTAAGTTCACCTTCCTTTCAGACCGTAATGAACTAGACAAAAAAATGTCTCTGAGATCTACAGCTGAAGAAGACTGGCAGTAAGCACAGCACAGATAAGGTTTTCTGTCAATTGTAGGTATCAGCAGCTGTGAGCGTTCCCTTCTGGCAGAAGTTTCTGCAGCGATTTGGCAAGAAGTGTGCAGCATGTGGGATTTCGGTAAGCAAATCCTTTGAGAAAAAGTCTGCTTGTGCTCAGTTCATTTGACAACTGGAACCCCTTCAGGAGCTCTTTTAAGTGCTTATAACCTCAAGCTACGTGAAATTTGCTCGGCTTCAGGGTTTGTTTTAAATTGTTATACCAAATTTCAGACAGATTCCAAGTTTCCAAGAGAAACTTTTGAGAAATGGATTGATGCTGAAGGGATGTTTCAGTTTCTTTAAGAATCTGCACAAGCTCTGCATTTTGCTGCTTTCAGAAGTGAACCCCAATAAGGTTTTATAAATTCAGATCTCTGTTGTCTCAGGTTGACAAGTTATCTGTTGTACAAGGCTTGTTTTGTCTTTATATACGATGCTGAGTTGACCGCATCTGTAATTCAGTCACAGAGAAGGAAACAGAAGTCTGTTACACATGCTTCTCTAGAAATGTAAGAAGGCAGGGGTGCCTTCAGGTGTCACATCCCTCTGAACAGAGATGGACGCTTCTCTAGAAATGTAAGAAGGCAGGGGTGCCCACATCCCTCTGAACAGAGATGGACAGTTATTAGTGAAGTAAAGAAATAGGTGACCTACCCGAGAAAAGAAGCCTAGTTTAACTTTGACACAGCTCTGCAAATCCGGCTCATCGAGCCTGCCCTCGTCTCTGATGGATTATTTTAAGTCCTTCACTTAGTGCAGACAGCAGCAATTTTCTGTCATCATCTGCAGTGAGTCATTGTGTAGGCCTGTTCCTCTCCATTTTTCCCCTGTTTACCTTCAATTACTTATGAAAGAGGAAAGAAAAATTGTCTGCCTTGTGCACAACAAAGCATGAGGACTTGGAAAATCCAGCCTGAAGCTATGTGTCGAAATTTGAACAAAACTGAAAAATTTAAGTCTGGTGACAATTGTTGAATATAATTGAACAATTATCATTTTTTGAATTAAAATCTGTGTGCTGGAATGACTTCCAAAGAATTAGAAGTAACTTTAAAACCCACGTTCCAAATATGCCCAACTGTTCTGTGTTTTGAAGTAAGCATCTGGAATCCAAGTCCCATCCTCATTTCTTTTTACCACTTGAGCAATGAGAATTGCCAAAAGCAGTATTGGACCGTTGACTGGACCAGGGAATGCAGATATTGTCCTTAGGAAATCTCCTCCTCCATCTACTTGGCTAAGAAAAAGGCTTTCTTCAACCAACTTGGCTCTATAAATTTAGTTTCAAATGACTGGAAAGCCTGTCAGCACCTCTGTAAACATGGTTTAACTTAATTTTACAGTTGAGTTGCTTGACTGTATTATGGTCTAAATGGGGACTGGATTGAAAAAAAGCCACCTCTCTATTTCACCTTGCAAATATTTCTCAAGGGACTCAGTGTGTGCTCAGGGATGGATTTTGTGTCTGGCAATGCATCACAGGGGCTTCCTATACTACCACCTTGTGTTTTCTGTACAACTAATCTGTTCTGTCTCACTGTGAAATAAAATCACATCATTTAAGGCTGCTATGTTTGTCACTGGAGAATGTTCTTCTGGAAGGGAAGGAGACAGAGGAGAAAAGTTTTTTCTCTCCAAAACCTTACCCAGCTTCCAGGGTGAAGATGTAATTTGAAATTTAATTTCCGGAAAAAAATTTCACACTGCTCCAGACTAATTTTTCCTGTTGAAGTGGCTCTATGTTGAAGAGACTCCTGAAAGAAGAGTATAGAAGGCAGGGTAGGTAGATAAGCAACAAAGATCTTGGCTTCCTTCCGCTGATATTGCGCCCTTTTTGCTTATTCCCCCATGAGAGATGGCCAACAGTCTAAGTACTGACTAAGTATCTAAACTTCCTAGAAGTTTAAAGCCTAGACTTCCTGGAAGTACAGGGTCATACACAAGCAGGATCTTTGATAGCATTCTTCCCATGATCAGGTTGATGCTCAGGCTAGAAATTGTTCTTTTCTGTTTATTTGCTTCTGCTTCCACGTGCTATGATCATTTAGATTGTCTGCTGTGCCTTCACAGGGCAAACGTGGAACTTACAATCAGTAAGTCAGCTGGTGACCGAGGTGAAGTTGTCATGAGAAATTTTAAGAAGTGTGGCAGCTTGTTGGTTCATGGTTTTGGCAAGGTGTCTAAAAGTGGAAGATGACACTCTCTCACAACTCTAGCTTCTATCCTAGCCCATAGTACCTTGTGGCTGTGGGTTTTGGAGGATTTAGTAAAAAAAAAAAAATTAGAAAACGCCCCCAATCTTTTCACTTCCCCACACGTATGCAATTGTTTGTTTGCCGTCTGCCAGCACTGTGCAGCGTGGAGGCATGCCCTAGGATGAAGCCTGGCTAGGCAGCCCCTTTTCCACTCTCCCATCCCCATTTCCACTCACATCCTAGCTGCACCTTTTCCTGATTTACCCTTCATAATGTACTGCTGCGCAGGCCAGTACTACCTTTAGCATCCCAGCAGGCTTATCTTCCATAGTGCTGTCAGGGAATGGATGGAAGACAACGTGATAACCGTAGGATATCGTGTATGACTTGGAGGGCAGCAGCCCTGTGCCTAGGGAGCAGGGTGCCAATAACAGAGTATTTGCTTTACAAGTAGGAAAGAAGGAGATGCGTTAGCTGTTTATTGCAGCAGGAACACTGCCCCCACGATTGCCCTACCATTGCATGAGTGAGACTTTAGGGCATTGTAGCCTCAGTCCTGCAAGCCATGCTTCTCTTTCAGTAGAAAATTACACTTACAATGATTATTATTATCGATCTAGAATTTTGTTTAGGTGCTTTGGCTTCTGAGCGGGTGCCCCATGTGGAGCATAAGGCAGTCATAAAATTGCTTATAGGCCACATAAAATCTTGTATTGCTGGAGTGCTCTCTTGTGGTGAAATAACGATTTTGCCACAACATTGGGCTAATGCAAGGATTAGCTGTGTGTGCTGGGAACTTGCAGTCAGTAAAGGTTATTTTCTGCCTCCTTAGGTTAGGAGCAAATGCTTTAGATGGGAAATGCATTTAAAACGTAAGCATAATGGATTAGACTCCAGGACTCCCAGAATCACTTATCATACAGAACTGTAAATAGCAGTGCTTAGGGGAATCACTCTCTGTGAAAGCTCTTCTCATACCCTCAGCTCCCAAGCTGCAAGTATAGAGGATTGAAACACTTAATGTTAAACTAATCCCCCATCATTAAAAAGCCCTGTAGATAAGCCCCTGGTTCTGGCTTCTACATGTGCTGTGTCCATGGTTCACAGGCGTGGGAGTTGGAGCATGTGATGGGTACAGGACAGCTGGGCTGTGTGCGTTCAATCAGCATTTAAAATAGTGGATTTTCAATCCTGTAAGCTCATTGCCTCAAGTTGAAGTTGAGGAAATCTGGTGGTTTTAAGTACTGCCAGAAAACAAATCCTGAGCATCCTGAATTAGTTTGGTCTTGAGGGTAGCCTTAGTGACTTGTGCAATGTCATGAGCGTATCTGGCTGCATGGAGTGGGAGTAAAACACACTGCCTTCTTGGTTTTAGCTATTGCTGAGTACCTGGACTGCTTTAAAGTAGCCATTGGAACTGAAGGTGTAAGCAAGCTCTTCTTCGTTCAAGACTCAAGATGATCTGTAAAATGAGATATTTACAGTTTAAAATGACCATTGAACCCCTGCCTTTTCCCTTGAAATGCAGTGTGATGATGTTTCAAAGCTTTGTATCTAATAGTAAGTTAAATAGTTCCACTGGCCTAGAATAGAAACTGGTGTTTGGTCATCTCTGTTACTAAATGGGCAGAAAAATCTTGGCACAAGCTGATTATCAATCTCCTAAGAAGTATCTGGGCACAGTTTGGGAACTGGCCCACTTCAGGGCTTTTCACAAAAGTGTTTATATGGCCACACTTCTGTTGCAGACTATGAATGTTTAGGAGTATGGATGTGTCCAAGGTTGCCAGTTAGTCTTATGACTGATAAATAGGCTCTTGGAACTGTTGAAATTAATAGTGCACTTATAGCCCTAATACTGCTGACAGGGAAGGCACTACCATGGCTTATGCTATTTTTCTCTGATTCTTCTGGATAGATAAATACAGATGGGCTTAGGGCTCTTTGGAAATGCCATTTCACCGAAGTACTGAAGTGTTAGACGTTGCTGTGTGTGAACTGTTTCCTAACTCAGTCTTGTATTTTGAAGGGAACAATTTGTATACCGTTGAGCAGTACATACTGTAAGTTAGATGTACTCTTTTTCTTCTTCTTCCTCAGTGGATGATTCCTTTTGCAGTCATGCTAGTGACCATTCCCAACCTGATCCTGGCTTACTTCTTGGCCTTCATCTCTGGTCTGAGCATTGCAGCATCTCTTCTGTTGCCATGGTAGGAGAATTTTACATTTGAGGTGGGGAAGAGATGTATGTCTGCATTACGTGTATGTACTACTGCATGGAACGTGCCTCCAAAAGAGGCAGAATTTGGCAAGAGTCACTTCTTCCAATAATATTTGTCTGCTTTTATAATAGGACTACTTGCAATGACATGATTCTGGTTGCCCTGTTGTTAACAAATTACGTCTACCATAGGTGTAGCTGCTCTTTGTACATAAGAGTAGATGAATGAATAATCTAAGTAGCTATAGAACTTGTGATAACAGTAAATCAGTTGCTTGTGTTTGGTTTCTAACAGAACTACAGGAGTGATAGATAAATCAATTAATGCTGAGCAATTAAGAACATAGCAGAGGAAACATAAGCCGAGCTGTATATCCCTGCTTGAGCTGTCCTCTGGTATAGATCAAATAACGCAAGGATATGATTAAAAGAAACTGAGAATTCAAGGTCCTTTGTTCTTGAGGGCTGAAAATATTTGGGGGAAAAAACTATTCACGGATTAACAGGACAGGATGTTTCCTTTCCAGAAGGAATAATTATTATTCAGGTCAAATTGACCAGAAAACAAGACCATAGCTGAGAGCTGTTTTGCATTACTCATTTGTACAGTGCCCTGAAAATTCCAAGAGATCATGGAAACATAGTTTGAAATAAGCTGTCAGAGTACATAAGCTTTTCTGCACAGAGGGTGAGAAACCCTTTATTCCAACAGTAAATCATGACATATATTGGAGATAAAATGTCAATTCACAATTGACATTTGAGCAGCTTCCATTCTGATTCCTCATAACTAAATTCAGTCTCTTTGAAGTAGAGAGAGAATAGACTTTGTTGGTTTCTGAAAATTTTGTTAGCTTGTCGAAAGAGTTATTTCAGAGTGAAACTATTAAGATTCAGAGTCTCTTGAAATCTTTTTTGTTGTTGTTCTTTTTTTAATATCACAACTTGTGATTGGGATGTCAGTCAGTCTAAAGAATTCTGTCACCTCCCAGCAAGTGTTTGATAGTTTTTCAGTGGTTTTCTACTTTGTGATATGTGGCCGTGCACTTCTTACATGGATTTTTGCCCTCCTGTCGAGCAGTAGGATTCTTTCATGTGCTTGCCCATGGTGGAGGGTTTGGAACTAGATGATCTTTAAGGTCCCTTCCAGCCCAAACAGTTCTATGATTCTATGTGCATGACTACATAAATCAGACCTAAAAAAAGGAGGAGGGGTGTAGTCTTTCCATAAGTTTGGATTTTGAGAAGAGATTTTGGCTTGAGTTTTTCTTTTATCTTACTCATCTCTAGGTCAATGCTGCCTGATGTTGTTGATAACTTTCGCCTGCAAAATCCACATGGAAAAGGACATGAAACCATTTTCTATTCTTCTTATGTTTTCTTTACCAAGATATCAGCATGAATTGGCTTAGGAATTTCTGCAGCAGGCCTGGAGTAAGTAACACTATGTTTCCACTTAGTGGATCTATTCTGAAAGCATCCTGAGGTTACTCTGCTTTTACCCTGTGGAGTTTTGCCCTGAGCCTGAAAGTGCCAGCAGCTCCAGATGGCTAACCACTAAAGATGGGATTGTTATCATCTAGGCCAGACCACTGAGCATTAAGTCGCCAGCCCTAACATGTTTCAGTTCAGAAAGACCTGACTTCCCTTTAGATTTTCCTCTTTCCAAATTACTCATGTAAATTTTAGCGGCTTATACGAATAAAGAACTGAACATGAAAGCTCAGCAGATGAAGGTGCAGATGAAGGTTCCCCACAAGTGACACAGCTGCTTTGTGCATTCCCTGTTGCATCTGGGTTGAACTATGATGTATTGCGAACTTGTAAGTCTTGACATGGATTGGAGCTTTCAGGGGTGCCTGGTGGCCTGTTCAGCGTAAGAGGGTCACCGATTCGTGCATGGTTTTAAGGAACAGAACACTGATTGGAGAGAGGAACAGAGTCTTTCTCACAGCTCTGCCCATCACCTGGACCATAGCAGTTTGGAAGAAGCTTTGTGGTGTTCTTCCATTTTTGTCTTGTCTGTTCTGACTAGACAGGTTGAGGGAGTGATCGTCCATCTCCTGCGCTGCTTTTGTGCATGACTTAGCAGAAGTGGCTTTTGCCTGTAGCTACAGCACGCAAACGGCCAATAAACACTTAGAAGGGAACTTGTCTGAAATACTGTGTAGCCCTTGGCTCCAAGTTAGCTTTTTGTAGCCAAAATGTTTTGATTCAGGGCCTTCAGCCGAAACTGCTAAATAACAGACAGTGCTTAGGCAGTGCTTGGCTGAACGTTTTGGGCTCAGGAATTTTAGATGCTTACTGCTTACACCCTCAAACAAATCGCTGTTCACCAATTAGCCCCTTTTCAATTGCATTCCAGTTAGCTCCCAGCAATTTGCTAAGGCAGATGTTTGTGGGAGAACACAGAAGACAGTGATGCCAAATGAGCTGTAGCTTTCATAGGTGCATGTTCAGAGGAAAATAAACTCATTTTGCAAATTGGGAGTGGGAATTTGAGTATATCAGCAGTTGTGGGACTGCATGGAAGCCCTGAATCAATGAACTGTAAGTGTGTACCTAACTCTAAGCACTTGAGTAAATTTGTCTACCTTAAGAAGAGTGCTTAAGTGTTTGTTTAAATTAAAGTTAATTATTGCTGTTGAAATTGGTCAGATTGCTTGCATACTTTTAAAGCGGAGCCTAAATATTTTGCTGAATAATAGGAAACACTAACAGATCGATTTCCTTACATGGGATTCCATGCTCTTAGTAGTTAAGTGTTACACAATAATAACGACAAAATACAGACGTAATGCAGTTACCTGAAATCGTGCACAAGAATGAGATTTGAAAAACAAGGTTTGAAACATGTAGTAAGGGAGAAGAAAAAAGGTGTAGGAAAAATGGAAGAAAAGTCTGGAAGAGTGTCAGGGGAAACAATAGAGCCTTCAGATAAGCAACTGCCTTTAAGCTTTGGACATACACACACCACTGTTATTTCCATTTGTTTAGGTTTACTGGATACAAGCCAGGGATATGCAGACAATCCAATGATGTGATCCTCGCACTGAAAATCCTCATTGGAGCAGTCCCTTCTGTCCTCATCCTTGTAGGTTTATTTATACTCGTTTTCTATCCAATCACTGAAGAAAGTCGGAAAGAAACAAAGCTTGCACTTGAAGTGTTGAGGTAGGTTTGAGCTGGCAGCAAACAGCAGTAACATCAGCACAGCAGCTCTTAGTCATACTGGGCAAAAATGATTAGCTACCAGCATATACCTCTATATTACTTACAACAAAACAAAACAGCACTCTTTTAGTTGAATTGTTAACTGAATGGTATCATTACATGCTCCAGTATCTTATTTTTGTAGTGTAGTACTACTTGCTTAGAAGACCATTTATCAGATATATCGGCTGCTATATTTTAGTTTCTCTCTGGGGTGGTGCACAAAGCACTATTGCAGTACAGTGTTTCAAACCAGAAATGAAGAATATTCTATGAAGGTTAAATTTCTGGAGAAAATGTGAATACTTACAATTTACTTGTATATAGAAGAAGATGGAATTCTTGACTGCATTCTTGATGTTTATGCCATACAAGAAACATCCAAACCATTTAGAGGCGTAGGTAGGAGAGATCGTGGGAGAAAAAGAAAGGACAGCTTTGAGCTATTCTTTCCCTTTTTACATTCTCACTCTCCCTCCTCCCCTTTCCACTCTCTCCAAATAAAATCTTGCCTAGCTGAAAGTTATCCACTTCTGTCAAATGAAGCCTTGGTATACTGAGGACATACATGAGAACAATCTATCCTAGCAGATTGGTGGATTAAATTCAAAATATGTTTTTACTCTGTCTTGTTTTTATTATCCCAATTTGCTGGAATTGGAAACGAATTTCCATGCTAAGGGGTCAGTTCCAGGGCCTGAGCATGTGTATCTGGGACGAGTTCATTGCCCTAAGGTATCTAAGATACCTGCATAGGGTTGGCAGATATCCCACAGGCCTCTCGGGCACTATCTGCTTTCTTGAGTGGCAGCTGCAGACCGGAGGAGACGGGCTAAATAATCTAAAATGAGCCCAGTCCCTCTGTTTAGGTACTTTAGTCACTGTTCATAGCAACCACACCTTGCTGGTGGTTCTCAGTTGTTTGAGACTGCCAAACTGTAGCTTGATGAGTTAGCAACAAAAGGCAGAAATCTGCTCATGTGTCATTTGTTCTGCTTTTGACAGAAGGAGCCACCAAAGCACGGAGAACCTCGATGACGACCAAGAGGACACCTCCGTCTGAAAGCTCTGAATACAATGACTTTCCCAATACAGTCTCATATCCCACGCACAAACTCTGAGAGTCTTCCGGGTCATTCCTCTGCTCATGTTTTATCAAAAAGAACGAAGAGTGATTCAGACACAGTCAGTAATGAAATCAAGAGAGGACACCACTGTGCAAATATGTATCTAACTCCATGCACTGTGCTAAAAAAGACATTACAGATGTTCAGGAATGTAAGGTATTGAAGGCTTGGGGTTTTTTTGTTTGTTCTTCAATGACCAACGGAAGCTGTATCTCATTGCAATAGGAGATTCTATGGACTTGTAGGTTGAGAAAAAAAAGTGTAAGTGCGATGTACCATCCAAATTTGAACTTGTGTGATATATTTCACCTTTAGGGGCGAGCTGGATTTTGAACATAATCTCTACCTATAAATTGCACACTGGTGTGTTTGGAAAGCACTTGAGAATCCCGAGGTATGCTACGTGAAGTTAGGATTTACTTTGTTTTGAAATTAAGCAAATCACTGATGCAGACATATTTTGAGGATTTTCTCACAAAGAATTTTTCTGAAAGATATTTTGATGTAACTTAACTTGATAGATTTTATATGAAACAGAACTTTACATTTCCCATTACTGGAGTTCCTTGCTTCTGACACCTGTAAACTGATCTTTGTCGGAGAATGAGTACTTAACATTTTCAAAAACGACAGCTCCGCTTAGGATGCCCAAAATCAGTAGTCTCTTCCAAAAATTAGACTATGCCATTCAAATTTCTGTAAATTCTGGCCTTTAAGAAATAACGATACTCACTGGTTTCTCAATGTGGTGTGGGCTCTCTGCCTCACAAAACACCATGGCATAGCTGTTAATCTCAGCTTGCACACAGTGTTTTATACTAATGAGGCTACACCTGACTTTGAAATGGTGACGTTTTCAATCAGGAATGTCGTCATGCTTTAGATGCATTAACTGAAACCTCTTCTCTACTATAGATTCACACTGCTGAACACGTTTTGTAGATTAAAGACGTGCTTAACCTCAGGCACTTTCTGAGCACTTAAGTTCGGACCTGGTTGTTCTGGGCTTCTTCTGTAGCCAGTAGAGATCAAGACTCCAGAGGCTGGCTCCAAGCTTAAGCTAAAATGACTGGACTGAAGACATATCTAAATCGGGAGGTGAAAGTGATGAATCCAAGAGTTGAAGGCTTCCTTGCTTTGAAGGAATTAGCACAATGCAACACAAGACATGATTTACAGCCCCCTGGCTTCACTGTAAGCATATCTGGAAGGGTGCCTGTATTTTGTGCTACAAGTGCCTTTGAAGAACTGCCTTGCCACAGTTTGGGAGCACTTGCAGTAGGTGTCACTGGAGGCAGCGACCACAAATTGTTTGCTAAGGGTCATCTGGGAAGTGATTCACTGTGCTGGGACTGGAAACTGGGAAAGCTTCTGCTGAAAGAGCATCTTGTTAAGTTTAATACTGAAACCTTTTCCAAGGCAAATTCAAAGTCTAAGGCCTAATGAACTGTCCTAAGTCAGCAAAATGCTTAAGTATGAGTGAGCTTTTAAGGATATATTTTGAGTATGTGTGGGTAAGAGTTAGCTATGTTTAAGACTTCTGTTGAATTGACAGCTAAGTCTGGCGTTTTTTTGGTTTCAGTTCTTGGACAAATCAAGATTTGTATGCCCGAGGCATATGTGTTTACAACAATAAAAACCATAAGCCTGTTTACAATTTTGAGTCTGCTGGAATTTGAAGTAGCAGATATACTACACTTTGAAGTAGGTTAAGTCGTGTAGAAGTATCACATAGCTCAAAAACATCATAGAAAACAGTTTTGGGGGTTTGGTTTATTCTGTAGTATTTGAGTGTTTCTGAACAGTTGTCTTTAAAAACAACCAGAAGCCCCAGTAAAGGCTGTTAATGTTTTTTAATGGGTTATGTTTTCAGCTCCCTTAAATTTGTAGCTACCTGGCAGTGGATCCGTGTCAGTTTACGTAAGCTGAATACTTAGCCCCGTGATAAAGGGGTTGCAGAAACCGCTGGCTGTGGTTGATCGGAGTAATTTGAAGGTGGCTTAAGATGTTATTTCTAAATCAGTTGTGCAGTTGCCTCTAAATTGTACAACACCCAATATGAATTCAGTCCCTTGCAAAGTAAACTTGGTTGATTGTGAACTGTTTTCCTCTTCTCCAGAAGGACAATGTGATATTTATGTAACAGAGATGTACTCCGTCCTCACTTTGCATAGGGTAGTGATAATGGGAACTGCCAAAATAGAGTAGAAAGCTTCTGTAGATGAAATGTAGCAGAGTATTTTTATATTTTGAATATCTCAGTGATTTTATTTGATTATCCAGTTGTATTTTTGTTAAGAAAATGAATGTATTTTTCTAAAATAGGAAGAATAGAAGGGTAAGATTTTTTTTTTGTAATTTTATTTTTTTAGGACTCAATGTTGGTGCTGTAAAGTGAATGAACTTGTATGTCAATTTTAAATGATATGTATGCCTTATGTATGTTCAGAACATGTGACTGAAAGAAGCAGATTCTTATGTTGCCAACCATTGGGATTGAACACTAATCTAATGTAAACCTCCTGCCTTCCACTGATTGGCCATAACAATGGTCAGGCTCAATCCCTGGGGGTTCTCATTCAAGTAATACCCAAATACAGTTGTAAGAATACGGGAGATCGGATTAAACCAGCTGGGTGCCTACTGGACAGCTCTTGCCCACCTGCACGCAAGCAGTTCCAACAAATGGATTACACAAATAGAGGAAGAAAAGGACAACAGAGTTAGATGACACTGGGTAGTCCCCCGTTAGGCAAACCATGCCCATTCCTTGCCCTTGCTGAAGTACAGTGATGGCAACCCAAACCTTCTATACTGGGCTGGTTGCTGATGTAGTCAGTAGCCGAGCCAGTCATTAGTGATCTCTTCCAGCTTCGTTGCCCTTGTAGTTTCTGCCTAAAAATAATGTTGAAACCTTCCAAGGTTATATTGCCCTCCTGAACGTTACCGCTAGCGATCAGTCTCAGCGTGGGTCACAGCTCACCACACAGGTGAGCCACCGTTCCCCACCAGCACTGTTGGAGGGGGCTGCTGTTAGCCACCACCACCAGCCACATCTCCTGCTAACCTTCTCCCTACCTGCTGCGCCCTGTCTGTCCCTGAGCTTGCTGACCTGCCACAGCTTAGGTGGATTAGGTCACTTGTGCTGAGTCCTCTGCTTTAATAGGTGAATATCACCTCGGACATCTGTCGCTGGGAGTCCCTGAAGGCTGGGACCTTCATTTTCAGGTCACTGGGTTTTCAGGAAGGGCTCTACAGGTTTGAGAATAATTCCTTCAGTCACTCCTGCACCTTATAAGAATCACTCCTGGGTTCAGTCCCTGCTGCATCCTCTTGTCTCTATTCACCTTCCTCATTTCAAGTAAAATACTCAAAGTGGACAATGTTTTCAAGCCAAATCCTGCTTTTTTGTGTTCATAGAGTGTTGCCAAATACCATTCATCTCCTTTTCTACTTGCCTTTCTGGGCTGTAGATAAAAACCTCAAACTTCTTGAGGAGTTTCCTTAAGGGAAATTCAGGTCCTGTAAGACCTGGTTTTTGTTGTCCAGCTCTCTGAAGATGAGGGAGAGAAGGCAAGTTAGTTCAAAGTCTCATGCAGTAAGGCATAGCCAGTAGCAGTCTAGTGTAGGTCAATCACATACCTAGTATGAATTTCATATCATAGTTACGTAAAAAACAGTCTCAAGGTGCTACAGTAGAGTCTTTCCCTTCAGAAAACTTCTAGACTGAGGAAAGGTTGGTTGGATTCATACAACTGGCAGGTGAGGGAGGGAGTTTCGTTTTCCTGTAATTTTTGAGATCACAGGTTGCTTGTGCTGCACCGAATGCTTTTTTTTTTACCTTAACTCTCCACAAGACCATGGTTCAGATACCTAGAAAGAGTGCTGAGTATTATGCTTACAAAAATGGATATATGTTGTAGGGTTAACGTATGAAACCAGATAGCTTTCACGTCATTAAGCACCAAATCTGTTGCATAAAACAGATGCTGACTCACAGGGAGGCTTCATTCAAAAGACAAAACAGCAGCATGTGTCTCTGTCCCTGAGGCAGAGGAGGAGAGTTTCTCCTATGTTGCACCTGAGAATTTACAGTCTCTGAAGACACAAACTGGCACGACAGAGCCGAACAAACAATGGAGGGAGAATGGTCCTGGGGCCATGGTACTCTGCAGAAGAGGTGAGTCCTCAGTAGTTCAGAGACATTTACAGAGCATCAATCTCTAGCCCTGACTGGAGAGCAGCAGTGCTGCTGAATGGATGGTAGGGAAACATGAACATTTGCTCCAGAGTGTGGAAGCAGAAAGAAATCTTCTTTCTTGATCTATTTCTTGTCCCGAATAATGTTAGACAAGACTATGAATTTCAGCTACGCCCTTGAGCTTTCTGTCCTCATTTTTACTGCACTCTGCTGTAGATGGTGAGGAAGGATTGCTAAGGCCTTATGGAACTGACGGTGACTTCCTCAGCTTCACCTGATGGACGTACATCTTGGAGACCCAGCACCCATCCCCTGCCAGCTCGTCTTTGTTCATGTACATGGAATCACCTACATTCAGCAAAGGATCACCAGGATTTCCTTCATACCTTAGTATCCTCTGTCATGAACTTTCATCTCTGTTTTACCTAGAGGATTTTTTCACCTGCCTAAAGCCAACTCAGGCCACCAGCTCGTCACCATGATGATGGAACCAGGTTTACACTGGCTGAGAAGTTTCTGTCCAAATCAGCTGCAGCCCATGAGGAAAGTATTTCCCTTGTGTTTCCAAAACAAACTCATCTTTTGGCCATCTTCAAAATCAATGAGAAGAATCTGCACATTGGCCACATCCAGCAGCTTCAAGAATTCCACCGGTGCCAGCCAGGTCAAATTCAGTCTGACCAGTGAGTCTTGGTGCATAGATGCACCTGCTGACATCAGTGTGGGATGAATGCA